AGAAGCAGTAAATCGAGATCCTTTTCGAACAATTTTCTTTATATAAACAACCATTGTATGTGGAAATCATGAACAGGTAGAAAACATAAATTTTAGCTTAACAATGGTAGATTCAAAGAGAAATTGAGCTTGGTGATAACCATTGAACCAAGTAGACCACATCGACAGTAAAGTGGTATACATACTCTATTAAGTGTATCTTTCTCTCTCAAAAGCTTGAGAGTAATTTCATTCAATTTTAGATGGTAGATTCAGAATAATATTTTCCAACTTTTACAGCCCATTCTGAGCAACTGTTTCTTTTATTATTCTATCGGTTTTGCAATAATTAAGAACAATATCTGCACAAACAAGTACAAGAAGAAGACAAGAATGAGCCACACTCAATTGGAAACACTATACACTTTTAAAATTAATGTTACTTCTGTAGCACGGGAAAAGAAGAAAACCTAACTTGGGCTAAAAGGTTTCCACCTCATAAATATTCACCTCTGTGCAAAATATCTAGACCTTATCTGGAGCTGGGAGCAAGCGAGAAAAGAAGTATATATGGCTCATGAAGCTCTTAGAACAGTCTCCCAAGTACCGTACTTGGAGCTGAAAGTTCCTCCACCGTACCGCTCTGCGTACTCAGTCATTGTCGCTCTAGCACAATCATTCCACATTTGAACTATGTCTTTAAGAGACATAGGTTCTGAAAGTTCTTTCATGGAATAGCTGAACCTCGATCTGGTTCTCGCCGATAGATCCTCATACCTTTGTACACTGAAACATGGGGAAATATATCTGTCAGTTCAAATATGTTTAGTTCCCTCTTGTGATCACTTTGTACAAAAGTTCCATACCTGGCATCTAAAGGGAGTTTCTCGAGAGGTATTGGGGAACTATATGGGTAATTCGCAGGAACTAGTAAGCGTAACGGCTGAATCTGCGACTGCATCAAATACGGGAGGACACAAGTAGCTGAGCAAAGGGAGAACAGAAGATTGGAAACATGTAAAAAAAAAAGTTTCGAGGGACATACGATAAGTCCTGACTGGTAATGAGCTTTGAATGTGGCACTGAGAGTCACAGGGGAATAAGAACATGAGACGATTATTCCTGAAGTAACTTCATTTGGATAGACATCTACATTGCATATATCGACCACTGTCTCTACAAGTCTCCCATTTATTTCATTGATTTCTTTCAGGAGGGCACAACCAGGCTGCAAATTTAAAAAAATAGCCCTGTTTCAATATCGCATTTTCTTTCACTGTTCGATATATATAAAGTAATTTAAAGGCTCCAGAGTTTACCTCAATCTTGTTATCTTTCGAGCCAGATGATGCTGTGGAGTCGACTTCAGATTCAAGGTACTGTTTATAAACATCATCAGTTTGTGTTGCGATATCTAGAGGCTGAGTGCTGATTTCGCGCTTCAATCTTTTAGTCGGATTTGTTTCCCCGTGTGTCAGTAAGTTTCCTTCCTGTAAAAAGAAATTTGAACTCAAATCTTCGGCTAAACCAGCTCTCGATCCTCCACCGGAGTGGAAAGATCCTGCAATCCTGTCAGCCATACTGATGATTGAGCTCATCTCACATGCAGATTCTGCTAAAGATCTCTGTGATGATGACTGAAACTAGAAAGCATACACATTAACAATTGGATCAGTAAATTGGAGAAGAAAGATAACATAAGCTTGAATAAGCTATAGTATTTATGGTTTCTTCACTTACCGCATTGATCAGTCGATGAATAGGCCGCTCTGGGATTGGCTCAGGAGGAAGAGTAAACTGAGGAGGCTGAGCTGATGTTTGTAATAAGTAAGCATGCGACACCGGTGACTCAACGGATATGGGCCTTTCAGGATCCCCAGGTATTGGAGATGGAGAAAAGGTAGTCAGAGGAGATGGGGAAACAAAACGCGAGCCACCATACTGTGATGGTGTTCCAGTTTTGTGAACTGTTGCATGAAGAATCTGCTGGTCGATCAACTGAGGAGAAGAGTTGTGCAGTATCTTAGGGGATGAAGCTAATGGCGAAAAGTTAGACTTCTGAGCCGGAGAAACCAGTGGCTTTGGAATCTGGCGTTGACTTGGTGAGACGTGTTGCTCAAGTAACCCAGCTTTAATGTTCATCCCCTGCCTCATCCTCGCATCATTTATCTGGTGTGAAGTCGGCAATTGAAGCCGCTGGTTCGCTTGTTGATGCGGTGACGGTTGCTGCTGCTGAAACATACAAGACTGAACCGAGCTGATATTCGAGTGTACGGCTTGCGGAGTACTAGCAGAAATCTGTTTAAGGGAAGGTAACACGACATTTCCTAAAGAGGCCATAATGTTGTTCTCATCTTTTGGTTCCATCTTAGGCCTTGTCTGCAATGAATGAGGCATTGCTGTCTGTGATGTCGTAAGGCCAGATAATGAAGACGAGGCCCCATTTTGGTTTCTTGGTATCAACTGTGAATTCATTTGATTGTTGTCAAGAGACTGCGACACATGGACTTGATGGGATTGTAATGCTGCTTGATGGAGCTGAGAAGGGGGAACTATCCCTTGTTGTTGCTGCATTGGCTTCCGAGGCCCGAACTGACTCTTGGTCAACCTCAATACATGATCCTCATAAATACTAAACCTATCTCTGTGCTTCTCTGATATACTACTCCTATGAACATTTAAGAAGACGATAACTTGTTCCAATGTAGATTTGCCCACCCTTAGCTTTTCGGTTGGCTCGTATAACATCTTTTGTGGCGGAAGAGAATCAATCTGGTTTATCAAAACAAACAAAAAACAGAGTAAGAAAAGAAATGATATTCCACATCAAACACTTAACGAAGCAAATTAGTCTATGACTGAAGTACCTCTCTCAATTTATCCACAACTTTTTGGAGCATCGTACTCAGAACAGGTAAATACATATTTTTCAGGGCTTTTATCTGCAGGACATATCACAAGGGCTTTAGATTACTATTACCACAAAGAGTATTTGGAGATTTACACTGAATGAAAAAGTTTCATACGGAAAAGCAATGCCAGCGATGATACCTTCTGATAAGTTTCCTCCTGCCAGTCATAACCGCTGGCATTTACCGTCAAGCTTGTAGAATCTTGAGATGCTGGAGGTGTTCTCTGTAACTGATATGGTTGATTCTGTTGGTCTGGTATGTTTTGGGTTTGGTGCAAAGAATCTGCTGCTTGAAACCTTTGCGTATCGTTATGTACAGAATCCAAATTTTGCTGTAAGCTTCTACTCTGAGGCTGCTGCAGAGGATGTTGCGGTTGGTACTGTTGTAACATCATTGATTGAGATTGTCCCACCTCTTGGCCTTGAGTACCCAACAAACTTGTTCCCGGCACATTAAAATTACCAGATTGACAACCAAGTATATTTTGCTGCTGTTGGGAGGGGAAGGCTGAAGCATTATTACCATGAGAGCGAAGGCGTTGCTGGTGCATATCTGGGAGGTTATTACTCTGTTGTGCTCGAAAGCTCGCAAGATTGTTATGCTCGGACGACGACGATACTCTAAAAGCTCCGTGTTGGTCTCCGTTGTTTTGTTGTGTCGTTAGATGATGATTCTGATGAGTGTCTGGACCATTCATCAGTTGACTAATGAGTTGCTCTTGTTCTTGTTGCCTCTGTTCCTGGGACAGTACATCTATCTGCTGTTGATTACTAGAACGGACCCGTTGTGTTGGAAACTGATGATGTCTTGGCAAGAACTGAGAGTTTTGTTGGCCTGATGATGGTAGACTAGACAAAGCGGAAGATTGAGGAAAGGACTGCTCAGTAGACAATTGCTGCTGAATAGGTCCGTCTAATAGACTT